GTTTGTGTATCAGTGTTTGTATGTCTGTGTGTGGCAGAGTGTATGTGTATCTGTGTCAGTATGTGCGTGTCGTAGTGTATGTATATATGCCTATACATCCCAGCATTCAAACACCAACCCAATACACAAATACAAACATACAAACATAACACTGCATTCACATGACAACAGTACATACAAATACACTACTACATTCACACACATACTCCATGCAAAAATATGCTTACTTTCAAACACACAAACACAACCCTTCAAGGATGGAAAATTATAGCTGGGAAAGTATTGTGGGAGTTGCACAACAGTTAAGGATCTATTTTTTGACCATTGTTGCGCTAGTAGGGGCCCAGAAACAATTCTTGCACCAGGGCACTCTCTAGATTAATTCCACCAATGTGATGGTGCTATGTAAATGCTCTTTGCTCAAAAACTAAAAATACTTTATAATAACCTTGAATTAATTTGAACACATTAATGAGACTGCCCTTAAAAAAATAGAAACTCAGATAAACTATGCATTCTTTAGAATTTCATTCTTCATTATAATGTTATTATTCTTTATTGTGAGGTCATTCTATATATTGTTCAGTTCCATCTCTGTGTAAACTAGATCACAAAACACCACTAAATATTTTGGATGGGGTATAACACTATCAGCAGTGCTGTAAAAATACCTGTTTTGTTAATGACATTTTGCTTGTGTTTCCAGCTAATGTTTATATTTGATAATAACACTGAGATTGTTCCCTCTGCATTTTCATCATCAAGAATTATATTTCGTATTTAGTAATCTGCTATATTATTAGCAATTCATTTAAACATGGTAATGAACTGGTAAATCTACACACTAAAACAAGCAGAGAGTTTGTGGTCAGGTTAATGTGCACAATGTGGACCTTGACCACAGTGGCATTTCTAATGCAATTTCATATGGGAAAGTGAATGTTGGTATTTTATAGAGAAGAAATGCATGCAGACCAACACTTAATTTTACTATATCTCCCTGGTTCCCGTTGGCTCCTTCTATCCAGGTTGGCCTACTCAAACTGTTGTCTGTCCCCGAGCACCATCACCTTTCCACTTACTGCATTAGATCGTGCATCCAGGTTTACGAACAAGTAAACAAATCATAATCTTATATTTGGTATTTATCAACCATAATCAATGCATACAGGGTTTGTGGATTGCATCCTGAGGAATAGGAGGTGTATTAAGATGTCTGTTAGCAGAGTACTGCAGGAGTGAGGCAGTTGGCAGGAATTGCTCAAGACCTTAAAGGGACACTGTAGTCACCTGAACAACTTCAGCTTAATGAGAATGTTCAGGTGATAACTATAGCTCTCTGCAGCCTTTCTCATGTAAAGCTAGGAACACCTCCAGTTGCAGTCACTCAGAGTGAACCAGAGGGACTTCGGAGTTGATGGACTCAGATCTGCTGTCAGCAGAGCACAGGGCAGCACTGTGCATAGCATCCTGTGATTCAGTGTCTCTTCCCTCTGCATGCAGACACTGAACTTTCCTCATAGAGATTAATTGATTCAATTCATCTCTATGAGGAGATGCTGATTGGCCAGGGCTGTGTTTGAATCATGCTGGCTCTGCCCCTGATCTGCCTGTTTGTCAGTCTCAGCCAATCCCATGGGGAAGCATTGTGGCCCGTCACTGTGTGGATTAAGGCTTTGGCTGGTGGTCTGCGATCTCAATGCTCTTCAGGTCTGGATTGGCACACTGGGATATTTCCCACAAGATTATATATGGGGCTGACAGTCCATCATGAATATGTATGGTGCCCCCAGAAGTGTTTGCAAGTTGCCACAGATGGGATGAAAAATTCTGGTGGCAATGGAATCATTTTCCCAATGAATGCACAGATACCTGTAAATGCTTCCTTGTGCTGCATTTGACAAACCCATATATCACATAAATCAAATGATTAGGACCATCCACACAGATATTGTTGACTTCCTGATGCAGAAAGGCTATATTTTAACAGAACAAAAGCTGTCAGCCCTAAACTGAAACTTCTTTTCTTGACCCCATAGATTATGCGCCAATTAGAACACCAGCTTGTTCTCCCCTTAAACTCTGCCCATTGAGGAGAAAATTGTACACATAAAATGTGTGTATAACAAATCTACCTTCAAGCAGGAATACCTTTAGTTGGCTCACGTCCGCCCCAAATCATACAATTCCTTGGGTGTGGTCGCCATAATTGCAGTCTTAATCGCAATGCCAACAGCATTAATGTAATCTAAGGTCAAAGAAGGTAAAAATCAATGTTAATTAACTATTCAAGCAATACATTTGGCTGTTACAATATAGAAAGGTTAAATAGAGGCTAGGAAATCCACTCATGGAAAGCTCCTCAGAATAGGTGCACTGTCATCGACAGTTCTGTAGAACTCTTTAATGTACCTATCGACCTGTACTTCTACGTCTTTCCCCATCGGTAATATCCACTTTCTTTGACTTCAACCAGTTCTTTGTTTTGTCTTCTGTGATGACTGTATAAATAATGTTGTACTTAATGGCTGCACTATTATAGTGTATGGTAAAGTGACCTGGATTTGGGATCTATGTACAAACATTTTTTGAACATTTTAATGTTTCTATGATTTCATAACAGTGTGAATGTTACAGATGCAGCCTGTGAATTCTCCCCACAGTAGGCTGTGGTTTCAGGGTTATGGACCTGTTTTCTTGCATTATTACCCACAATACTGTACACACTTCCTGCCCACTCCTGACTTCCTCTCCTTAACCATACTAATGACAGCCGGGCAAGTCACAGGCCTTCCATCTCCTGGTGCAAAACCTCAGTGTCCCTCCCCCATTGTAGGTATATGAGAATTGTTGTGTTCTTTGTGTGCGTGTATTACTATTATCTGTGTGCATTATTAGTATGCAAGTATGTTAGTGTTTGTATTGGTATGTATTGTCAGTAAGTTTGTATATCAGCACTCCTGTTTATACAATGTAAGGGTAAAATTAGTTAATGAGCCCGTTTAATTGTAAAGTGCAATTCCCAAGATATTCAGCGAGACTTAAAGCCTGAGCATAGTATGAACTATATTTCAGGAACTGTAGTTTATAAGATTTCTATAAGAAGTCCTCTATGTGTTATTACATTACATACATGTATATAAACCCTTCTAGTTATCAGAGACTGGAAGGAAGTATTCACTAGGGACTGCATGAAACCCACTGGTCCACCAGGGAATCTACAGGAGCCACGAAGGAAACTGATTTTATGTCAAGACACGGAGGCTCATATTGCATATCCCTTTCTTTACTGTCCACCAATAGCAGCAAAGAATACAAACAGTAAGAAAAAACAGTAACCATAGAGATAGGACACTCCCATATCCAGTCCCAGTATAATAGGCAGCACCTTCCCATCCAATTCCTCTTTCTTTGCTGCTACCAAACAGATAAGTACATGACTAATTCACTCTATCATAGCCTTATGGTTTTTTGTCTACTGTTTTTCTGCACTGTTGACCTTTTCACTGCTGATAACGTTTACCATTCACTGGTTTATTATTGCTGGTAATTTGTATATATTTTGACTTTATGTGTACATTTTGTTTGACCCCAGGGTTCCAGACTCCTCTGTCCGGCTTAATTCTACTCTACCTTTACTGGTACCTCCTTGTTAAGCTCTAGGGCTTCCTTTTTTCCCTCCATTACACTGCCGGTCTGCCTGTCACTTTAGCGCCCTTTTCACCCATTCTCCTCCTCCCATTCGACTGTTCTTTCTCCTGTTATTCCCTCACACTGTTCGGCTATTCACGAATTCGGCTATTCACGAATTCACCCATTCACATTATTGCCTTATTCTCCTTCTATTCTCCTGTTGCTGCATTCGAATTTTCTATGCGAACGCCTGACTCATTCACCTTTTATGTGTTTCCCCTATGACTCCATATGCATTCACTATTTTCAGCCGAACGGTCGGCTCTTTCTCCCTATTTGGCTAGAATTCTGCTGCGAATCTCGCGAGATTGCCGGCGGCCATTTTCTATCACTCACTTTTCTCCCCATTCCTCGTGTCCTCTTCCTATCTGCCGGTCTGGACCCTGGTGAGCTCCCTCATTTTCTCCCTTTTAGCTATAACTAGCCTGGGGTGATTAACTCCTGCTAGTTGCATCCTCATCTCTTAGAACAGTGCTTCCTAATATTTAGCAGCTCTATATTATACTTTCTATTCTCTACAAAATATATATATTTGATTTGTGTCCTGAAATTACTATTCCTTGTTATTATGCCTAGACCTAAAGGGGCTGCTTCCCCCCTTTCCCAAGGGGATATGGATATACCCCATGTGCTGGATAACCCTAACACTGCCAGCTCTGGCCCCCCTTCTTCTGCGGGTGACCCTATGTCAGTGCCGGATGATGCCCAGGCCTTGGCACTGCAACGTTCCGTTACAGACGCCATTATGGCCGCCATGGGCTCCATGTCCTCGGCCCTGTCCCAGACTATATCTCAGGCCTTATTGGCACAACCTGTGCCCGCAGAAGCATCGGCCACACCTACGCGCTTACCGCGCTCCTCTTTAAACCCCTCAGGGGACAATCCTAGAAAGGCAAAGGCCAAATCTAGGCACCTAAGCCCTCCTGCCTCCAGAAACAACAAGACTAGTGTGAAAATATCCACCCATGATAGCGTGCCTATGTCACGCAAAAGAGCCTTTCCGCGCCAGGCAGAACGGGCGCGGCACTGGAAATGTGCCAGAGCGCATGCAGAGAGCGACTCCGACTCAGAAATCGGGTCTTGTGAGGAGGCTATAGATGAGTCTGGAGATGACTCCAATAACGAGACTGACGGGCAGGACACTGACCATTTCGCCCCTACCCTATCAGGGTTGGCAATTAGTGGCACTCGCAGCGACTCTCCCGCTACCGCGGGTTCAACCCTCATGGACCCGACTGGGGAACCTATGTTTGACCCGGATGCTCTCCATCACCCGAGGTTGGCAGAATGGCTCCCAGCCGACCATGTAGCAAAATACCTAGAGAACTGGGTACGGCGCCCCCTTAGCAAGATGGCGCGCAACAAGCTCAGGGCAGAATGTCCTAGACCCCTGATCCCCAACAAGGTCTGTGAGACTCCTACTGTAGACCCTAAGATGACGCAGTTTCTTTCTAAGATGGGTTGGAATCCCCGTAAGGGTTTGGACTCAGCATTAAAATCATGCCAGGACAAACACCTGGACATTTTTGGCCCCCTAGCTAAATTATTCGACCTGGCCGAGCTAGCCAAAACCGAGAACAGACAGGTTGGCCCGGAAGAACTCCGTGGTTGGGTACAGAGGGCAATCTGCATAGCAGGTAGCGTTAACACCTCCCTGTCTATAGAGCAGCGTAAAGCCATCCTTTTCAAAATCGAGCCTAAATTGGCCAACCTCGCCCTCACGGAAGCGGGCAAAGATGCCCAGGGCCTGTTATTCGGAGACTCCTTTATCAAGGATTTGGGGTGCTTCGTAGGTGCTTTCACAGCCCTAGACAAGGCCCAGTCCTCCATGAAGAGGGTGTTTCAGGGACGGGTCTCTACCAGGGCCGGCAGATTCAGGGGCCGTCTGTCCGGCTGGTCAAATTTCAACTCCCGAGGATCGGGACGAGGCTCTTATAATCAGAGACCGCCTTATCAAGACACAAGGCACCAGTCTCCCTTCTTCCCGTCTGGTGGAAGACCATGGCGCTCCAGAAGCTTCAGAGGGAACCCCGGTTCCAGACGCCCTTACGGTAAGACTACACCTACCTCATGTTTTTTCCAGTACCTGTGTAGGGGGCAGACTCCGTAATTTTTTCCATGCCTGGTTAGATATCACCTCAGATACCTGGGTTCTAGCCACTGTGAGGGGGTTTCACATAGAATTGGTAGACACCCCGTGTCGTATTCCTCCCCCTCACCCTATGGTACTTTCAAAGGCAAACCGTGCCTTAATAGACGAGGAGCTATAGAACGAGCTCCGCTGCCCCATTCTGGTGTCCTCAGCAACATCTTCCTTGTGGAAAAGAAAGGCGGCCAGATGCGCCCCGTTATAAACCTTCGGACCCTAAACTCCATAGTGGGCTACCGCCACTTCAAAATGGAGGGCATCCACCTCCTTCGAGACTTACTCCTACGTGGAGACTGGATGGCGAAATTAGACCTCAAAGATGCTTATCTGACATTCCTGGTGACCGAGTCATCCAGGGACCTACTACGATTCCTTTGGAAAGGCGAAACGTGGCGATTCACATGCCTCCCTTTCGGACTCTCATCAGCTCGCGTGGCTGCGCAGTCGCAGGGTAAGACTGATAGTCTATCTGGACGATATCCTCCTCATGGCACAAGATCGGGGGGTCCTCCTAGAACACCTTCAATGGACAATGGATCTACTGTGTCGGCTGGGCTTCCTGCTCAACGAGGAAAAATCCTGCCTATCCCCTTCCCGACACATGGAGTTCCTAGGGTTCACGGTAGACTCAGAAGCGGAGTCTCTCAGCCTCCCTCCGGCCAAAATACGCTCAATCCGCAAGGAACTGCGACGAGCCCTGACGCGCCACCAGCTGTCTTTACGACACCTGGCACGACTCATTGGACTACTGGCCTCCTCCATCCAGGCAGTGTTCCCAGCTCCGCTCCATTATCGGGCGCTCCAGCACCTGAAGATAGCACACCTTCGCAAAGGGGCCTCGTATGCAGATTTGGTCTCCCTGGACTCGGAATCCCGAGACGAACTGACCTGGTGGATCCACAACCTATCTGCCTGGAATGGCAAGGCAATCTTTGGCTCCCAACCGGAGTTCACGGTGGACTCAGACGCAAGTCTCCATGGCTGGGGCGCACACTGCAACGGTGTGACCACCGGGGGTCGCTGGACAGAAACCGAGTCCCGACTCCACATCAATGCCCTGGAACTACTAGCCGGTTCCTTTGCGATCCGGAGCTTTGCGAACGGCACGGCCAGTGCATGCATCAGGCTACGTATGGACAACATTTCAGTGGTTCGCTATGTCAACCACCTGGGCGGCACACGCTCAGCGATACTGGCCCGTTTAGCGAAAGATTTCTGGAACTATTGCTTTGCCAGGAACCTGATGGTCCAGGCGGAATACCTCCCCGGCCTTCACAATACTCAGGCGGCTTGGAGCTCACGCTATCTATCAGACAGCAGCGATTGGAAATTGGATACAGAGGTGTTCTCCACTATCTCGTCCCTCTGGGGGCCCTTCACCATCGACCTCTTCGCTTCCAGGCTCAACGCCCAACTACCCCGGTTCTACAGCTGGCGTCCAGACCCGGCCGCGGAAGTAGTGGATGCCTTCCTACAAGAATGGTCCGGCTCACACCTTTACGCTTTCCCTCCATTTGCCATGCTTCCCCGAGTGCTACCTCAAGTACGACACCAGATGGCGGATTTGGTCCTACTAACCCCATTCTGGGGTACCCAGTCGTGGTTCCCACAACTCCTGGAACTGGCAATAGACGTTCCCGCACTCCTGCCATCCAACCAGGACCTTCTGCTGAACCCGTTGGGCCAACAACATCCCCTCCTACTGGACGGATCGTTACGGCTACTCGCATGGAGGATTTCAGGGGTCCTTGGGAAGTCCAAGGAGTTTCGGACACAACTCGATGCCTCCTGGCTGACGCATGGGCTCCCGGCACTAGACGCTCATACGGGACCGCTTGGAGAGCTTGGACTGGTTGGTGCCTGGCTAGGGACCTGGATCCCGTGGCGGCTCCTGTGACGGCGATACTCCAGCTCCTCACATCATTATTTGAAGCGGGCCGAGCATATCGCACGATTAACCTATACAGATCGGCCATCTCCTCAGCTCATCAGGGTTTCAATGGCTGCCCAGCGGGCCAACATCCCTTGGTGTGCCGTTTACTCAAGGGTTCACGCCTCTCGCGTCCCCCCAGACCTCGATACACAGCCACATGGGACGTATCCTGCGTCCTATCACTGTTTTCCTCCTGGCCGACCAACTCGGACCTCACCCTGCAACAACTCTCTGCCAAGTTGGTATCACTATTCTGCCTCATTTCGTGCAAACGAGTCTCAGAGGTACGTGCCCTGGACCATGATGCGAGATCCTTCACCCCGGACGGGGTGACATTCAATATCTCCAGAAGGACTAAGACGGCCATACATTCAGTCTTGTACCCGAGTTTCCCAACTACCCCTAAGTTGTGCCCAGTGACCTGTTTGAGAGAATACGAACTTCAGACGAAGGCCCATCGGTCGGCTTCAACTCCTCAACTTTTCCTCTCAATCCGTCAACCCTTCGCCCCAGTATCCAGCACGACTCTGGCTCATTGGGTGAAGTGGGTCATGTCACAGGCGGGTGTAGACACATCCATTTTTAGCGCCCACTCCACACGTGGGACGTCAGCCACTTCTATGGCCTCTTCGGGGGCATGCCTGGAAGACCTTATGAGAATGGCGGACTGGTCCAGAGAATCCACCTTCAAGGAATTCTACTTTCGACCTCAGCCTCACGTTTTCTCGTCGGTCATTGCTCAGCTTTAAACTTGCAATATGAGCCTCCGTGTCTTGACATAAAATTACATGATTTTGCTATTTCATGACGAAAAGTCATGATTTTATGAAAGACACGAGGCGAGTATTGCCCCTCCCTTTTACTTATTTGTATAACCTTTTTCCCCCCCCTGTTATATCTCGTTTTAGGGCGGTAAGTATAGAATTGCGCTCCATCACGTATGACTTATATGTACATCTGAATCATGACACTACACATACCTGGGGATTCTTGACTTAAGAAAGAATGGGGGGACACTAAGGGGTGACTTGATTTCCAATGTATCGTATCTTGGCATGTACAATTGGGGTTAGTACCGATTTAACCTTTGGGCTCCTGTTATTATGTTTTCACAGGTTGACTCACTTCTGGATGCATCGCATGAAGTGCATCTCTCTACACAGGACTTCTCCAAGTTAGCTGGAGTTCGGTGGCTAACGCTGAGATGGACTCCCTATGGTTAACGTTTCATCATTCGTTCCTGGTTTTGTCCCTGTTATTGGGCATCTTCTGGTCAAGTATCCAGATGGACTTTGGGCCGTTGCCCTTCTAGTTCTGGACTGTTCCTGGTTTCTTGCTTGCTGTTGGCGGGTAGCATCTCCAAAGAAAGAGGAATTGGATGGGAAGGTGCTGCCTATTATACCGGGACTGGATATGGGAGTGTCCTATCTCTATGGTTACTGTTTTTTCTTACTGTTTGTATCCTTTGCTGCTATTGGTGGACAGTAAAGAAAGGGATATGCAATATGAGCCTCGGTGTCTTTCATAAAATCATGACTTTTCGTCATGAAATAGCAAAATCATGTAATTATTGCTCCCTTCCTGCCCAAAAGCAAAGCAGGAATGAAGTGGCAAGAAAAAATCAAATAAAAATAATATGTGGGAAGTCTGAACATGGACACATAGTCTCCCCATACACACTCAACCCCCCCACCCCCCCAAACACACTAACACAAAAACCCCTGTAATCCATATCCATTCAATTATTCAATTGATGCATTTGCCCATCTGTGCAGAGTTGTATTTGTGAGCAGTTTTGTGCATTTGAATGTAAGCATGTTTTTGTATGGAGTATGTGTATGCATGTAGGAGTGTATGTGTATGTACTGTTGCCATTGGAAACCAGCGGTGTACTTGTGTAGTGTTTGCGTTTAAATGCAGGTATGTACACTGACACATTCACACATACTCAGATACACACCCTGACACACAGATACACACACTGATATCAATATTGTGATTTCACACAGGAATTGAAAAGGTGTTGGATGTGCTAGGTAGATTAATATCAGCTACCAAGGCACTCAATACCTACACCAAGATTTTAGATTCCATTCCTCTTCTATGTACTCAAACAATGGTGCATTTCTGAAATGGTCTATCCATAAAATGTACGGATGAGCTGGCTTCGCATGACTTATCAGATAATGTATGAATGATCTCATAACCTATGTAACAAAATGCAGTGCTCAAAATCTCCCCTTGTATACTAGCCACTGACGCATGAAAATTCAGCAGAGGTGAGTAGAAATTCACTTCTGTTGAGTGTGCCATGGATCCACCATGATTGTCGTAGCGTGTAACTTTTAAGAATGTTTAATACTATAGGACAGGGGTAGGAAACCTAAGTGAATCACATTAAACTAATTTCAGGAATTTTAAATTGAAATTAAGGAATTAATGTTGTTTGGATTATCTACATGGCTGATGCAGTAAAATATTACTATATAGTTCTGTCTGTATTATGGTAGAAGGGGTTATTTAGTGAAATCCTACCCCATACATTTAGGAAATTCCTGCACCCAGGGTCAGTTAGGATACCAACCCAATGTGTGTCTTTTTCTCTAAGAAATAGTAAGTCATATGTCTATCTATTTAGCCTGGTTACCTAGGTCTATCTCAACCCTTGCCCTCCTTGCTTCAGGTGGAATTTCCATAATAAAATATTTTTGCTTAGGCAAAAAACATCATCCATTTTCCATAGAGAACATTCATAGCTGTTCTTTCCACCCTGAGCATCACAGAAGTATTATATCAGTGTTGAGATACTGCATCAAGAATTCATGTTTCTGCAGATCATCTCATCAAGTCCTGTTTTTAGGATAACTTTAATAGCGCTGCTATATCTCAAGAATAAATTGGCACATTGTCATAATAGCCACGAGATATTGTCTCATGCTTTTGTCTTTCATACATCCTGTGTTTACTATTATCCTGCCTCATTTATCTCCTTCAATACCCAAGGTCTGTTGTGAATTATAGAGATGAATAAAAAGATTGTGTATCTGTTAATAGAGAATTGGTAACATCATTGCCTTAGAACCGGGACACCCAGGTCCTTCTTCATTCTAAATATTCCCTTTCTATAATTGTAAAATGTGGTGGCATATGTTGCAATATAAATAATAACTACATGACTGACCATCCTATGTCTCCTTTAATATTTGTATAACTGAGAATATTTCTGTTATCATAGTCCATTAATAATGCAGTTTCTATACTTAACCAAGGGTTGTTTGGAAAGGAACCTATAGGAAATCCTAAATATTTCCGCTGCGTTGGTGGATCCTGGGTGGCTCATATTTCTCAATATATTTTAAACACATGGTGGATGATCACCAGCCTATGGGTTTACCAGGTTGTGCACCATCTGCCTCCCTGTTCTCATTAAAAATTATAATTTTAGGGGAGGTAGAGATATGAACCTGAGAGACTACATGTCTTGATGACTTGATGCTCCCGAGGATGCTAAGAAATCCTTACTGTCATGAAGACCCTGGAGATATAAAAAACTGAGCAGGCTTAAACAAAAAGGGGGCTTTATTCCTAACATTATAGTGTCCCTATGCCCCCTTCCTTGTGACCCTACCCCTTAGACGAATAAAGGGTTACTAACCCTTTTTTAACATACCCGATTCCAGCGCAGATGTCCCTCAGACCGGGGTGGGGCTCAAGCGACATCATGGCGACTCCAGAACCTAATGCAAATGCTGTGCTCACATTAGCCCCTCCCCATACAAAATGCTTTCCTGTGGGGATTTTCTAGACACTGGATGTCCTCATGCAAAGCTTGAGGACGTCTAACGTTGCTTCACGCCGTTAAACTCTGTGAAAATACAGGAAGCACCTCCAGTGACTGTCTGGTAGACAGACATTACAGGCAGTCTTAACCCTGCAAAGTGAACATTAGAATTTCTCTAAAACTGCAATGTTTTACATTGCAGGGGTAAGTAGATGGGAACAGTGCACCCTGATTAATTTAATGAGGTGATGTGATCTGGGTGCTTATAGGCCAGCTTATTACCTGGTATAAAAGGCTGCTTCTTCAAAAGGCTCTGCAAGTATACAAAACTATAGAGTGCCGGAACTTCAGTAAAGAACTTGAAAACATGTCTCCTTCCTCAAATGGCTGTGCCCAAGGGGATTTGGACCTAATAACTAAATGGTTGGGAAATCAGACTCAGGGTTTTTCAGGAGCCGTACAACAAAAAGTTGGTAGATGCTCACTATAGCGTGATAAATAAACGAGTATAGGCTAGAGCAGGACTGACCTTAGACCTTTAGGCGCCATGTGCAAAATATTTTCACAGGGCTCCCTGGCCACATCCCTCTCTGGCCACTTCCTGTTCCCTGTGTCTAGTGCCAGTGTGTTTGTAGTGTCAGTGTTTGTGATTCTAGAGTACGTCTACGTTGCATTAGGTGAGTACCTGTGGGGAATGTCGGTAATTGTGTATGTTTGTAACTGTTTGGGTGTTGTCATGTGTGTATGTAAATGCAGAGACTGAAAATGTGCATACATTTTAATTTTTGAACTAGTTTGCTTTTTTTCTCACAGGTTTATATCTCCTTATATTATCACACATCTTTCTCCCTTATTTCTGCTATTTGTCTATCCTCCATTTTTCCCCAATGTGTTTCTTCCCATCGATTTCCTATGTTTATCATTCTACTCACATTCACACTTGTCTATTTTAATCCATCTCTCTCCTGACTGTCTATTAACAGTACCTGTGTGTGTGTGTGTGTGTGTGTGTATGGACTCAGCAGTCTGTGTGTCTGTGTGTGTGTATGGACTCAGCAGTGTGTGTGTATGGACTCAGCAGTCTGTGTGTGTGTCTGCTAGTGAGGAAGCTTTTGTGTGTGTGTGTGGACTCAGCAGTCTGTGTGTGTGTGTGTATGGACTCAGCAGTCTGTGTGTGTATGGACTC